TAGTAGGTAGTAGGTAGTAGGTAGTAGGTAGTAGGTAGTAGGTAGTAAGTAGTAAGTAGTAAGTAGTAAGTAGTAAGTAGTAAGTAGTAAGTAGTAAGTAGTAAGTAGTAAGTAGTAAGTAGTAAGTAGTAAGTAGTAGTAGTAGTAGTAGTAGTAGTAGTAGTACTACTACTACTACTACTTGGAGGCTCTTCTTGGTTGTCAAGTAGTTACATTAAAAACTATGAACATAGTCTACATGCTATCTAGTTAGTCGACTTAAGCTATTTTAGATAACAGAGTTAGTAAGTATACTAAGTGGTTTTAAACATGCCCCCAAAACTATAGACAAAAGCCCTTTTGCCAAGTCACCAGCCGCTGGCTTTGAAGCACCTGCGTGGGAAAGAAAGGATGGGAGTGTCATGTGGACTGTACATGTACCAATTGACCTTGGTGATTGGATCTTATAAGGACACCATTCACGCCATGACTGCTTACAGGGTAGTGTGCTCGTGAGCAGGTTCTTTGTTTTATTTACATGAAAGGGGTATATATATTTATAACATATAACAGGACATGACACGATATCACATCACATGGGAGGGACCAGTTGCAACCCATGCAGCTCTGTATTTTCCTCCTCACCACCATTGCGTCTTCACCTTTGAGGCTGTACATGCAACATGTCTTGACCTCTTTGGTCTCAATCACTATTGGCACATCCTTCACTTTGTACATTTGGCCATGGATGTGATCCCAAGGCCTTAGAACCGTCAGAATCATGGCTCCTTGCCTCAAGTGGCACATCACCTGGCCAACCCCCTCCGAGAACTCCACCACATCGTCCTTGTGGACCATCTGACCGTCTTTGGCCTGTGCCACCCATGAAGTCTTCACTTCGCCGTCACCACGAAGCACAAGTCGAGCCAGCACTGGCGACCTTCTCATTTACCAACGATACACCGACATGAAATGTGTCTTGCCTTAAGTCCAAGAGCTGTACATGGATGATGTCTGCAAGAATGCTCTTCTCAAAAGACTGGTTGAAGTTGCAAACAGGATCACCGAAACGCTTTACCACTCTATGTTTTCTCTCATGACAAAAGCATGAGAGAAGGCAACCAAACCGCTCAAGGAACTCACCCAGGTGTAAAGACATGTGGCACTTGGGTACCCAGAATTCGTCCCCATGCGTCTGCAGAAAACAGTCCAAGTACTCCTTGATAGCTGTATGCAGTTCTGATGGTCCCACCGACCCGCCACGGTTCAGGGTCATCAAGAGATCCAGAACCGCACAGAGCTTCAAGGAACAAGAACACGCCCTCCTAGCGGCAGGAACCTGCTCCCAAACAAAGTTGACCAGGAATGCCCGGATGATTGGGTAAGCAGAAAGGAGCTCTGATGCAGAGCATTTGAGCGGCTCCCCCTTTGTATCCCTTTTGGCAAAAATGTTCTGAGGCCTGCTCCCTCCGAATTGCTTTGGCCAGGTGAAGGAAGAAATGAAGTTGTCCAACCGCCCATCAGGGATTCCACTATCTCGCAGGGATGCACTGAGGAGCCCAAACTCGCTGTTAGCAACCCCGTGTACAAGAAAAATGTGGAACCAGTCAAACATGACAGATTCTGGAATCTGATGCCCATAGGATTCTGAAGTTAGTAGTCCGCCCGGGCGCCAGTTCCATCCCAGTGCAGTTTTGAGACGGGCAAATTCAACCTGATTGAGGACATTGTGCTGCTCAGATAGGTGATTCACAATTCTCTGAACCGTGGCGTTCCTCTGAAGTCTAAACTGATCAAAGTCTGTCGATGTCCCCCGAACCAACCCTTCTGTTCGACTCATGGAGTCAAAAGATCCCTTGGCCACGACGTTGCTACAGCGACAACAAAACAATTTCCCTGCAGCTCCTTTGGACTCCAGGCTCTGCTTCAGAGCCACCTCATCGGCAATGAGGATCTTGAGATCTGAGAAAAAGAGCATAGGCTCATCCCGAAACTTCAGCATGACTCCATATTGAAAACTGTGTTGTCCAAAGAAGCTGTCCTGGTATGTCTTTATGATGGCGCCGCCAAACAATGGTCTATATATATATATATAGCTTTACACGAAGTGATTGGACATATACAAACATGGCAAAAGGTCAACCTAACATGACCTATACCCAAATCCATGGGGCTATATACATAAACCAATGGCATCAAAACATTACGCAGGAAATGAAAGAAGAAAATCATTCACAAACATTTTCAAGGGTCCAAGATCTGGGGCCACACGACTGTGACACCCCCTAGTTCAGCAACCTTTGTGCTGCGGATAACCGCAACAGGAAACCAGCATTTCTCACTGGCCAAGGCCCGGCTACCAAGCTGCAACCAGCTCCAATAGAAAACCTGCAGTTTTCTATTGTTCTGGTGTCGAAGCGCATTCCCCAACACCAATTCGTCACAATATAGAACCAAGCTCCACTTTTGACCAATGGATGGTGGGTTCTCGCGAAAGGCTTGACTCAGGAGGGTGTCCATACCTGAAGAGTTCTCCACAATATGTGTCCAAAGCGCCACTGGGTTAATCATCGACGCAGCATATTTCTTTGAGCTGGAGCCTTGAAGGCTGACCTGCTGAAGGAGAGGCCCAAACCTGGTTGTCATGTTTTGAAGTGCGGTATCACGCGCTCGTTTAATGCTTCCACGCGAGGTGGCAGCATTTGCATCGAGCTTACCCGCTTCCTGTAACTTCTTTAGCGTGTCAGCCAACCCACGTTGACTGACATAAGAAGAACGACCCAAGTCTGCCAACCATGACATTTAGTTCAGTGGGTCATCTATGAGCATGTTGCTTGATCACCTGAAGCTTTGCCAGCCTGGTCTCGTCTGTTTGATCTTGCAAGCGCCATTGGGATCGATGTCTTCAAATGACATCCAATCTCAAAAAACTGCTTCTTCACCAGAACATCATGGCAATTAAGCTATATTTGCTTTTGATTGTGAACATCATGCAAGGCAAATAAGGCAAGGTTTGTCATAAATTCTTCTTGTGAATCGTGCATCAAACAAAAAACTATATAGAATCAATGATCATGTGTCTTCTTGTTGCGCAGGGGCATCCCCACAAACTTGCGCGCAATCCAGCGTCAATTGAACCAGCTGAATACATCAACATGGGGCGCATGTCTGTCAGGACCTGCGATCACGGTGATCCAGCGTTGATGTGCACTCAAGTGAAAGCAACTGTGCTGGAACTGTGCACACACAAACACACATCTCTGAAACCAACTGCATGGTAAACTGACTGAATGGCAGTCTCTCCCATCAAGAACAAATGGCATTGCATGCCAATCAAAAAGGTATATATATATATTATCAACATAGCACAGGTATATATGAAAGGCTCGATTGAAATCTTTGCAACACCAAGTGAATGATCCTATATAGAAAATGATATTGCGTGAATCGCTGCAAGTCTTTTCACCATCCCTCGACCACATGATCATAGCTGGCGCTTCCAGCAGCTCGGGCAGCATCCAGGCTTCCACCGACACCCTGAGCAGCCATTGGGGCGGCGTCGCAGCCGCTCTGCCCATGTCAGGCCTGCAACTTCATTTCCTCGATGAGTCTGGCTGCTCATGGACATGGCTGCAGGCTTCTTCATGTTCTTCACGGTCATCTTCATGACCTTCATGGCCTTCATGGTGGTCGACTTCATGGCGGTCTTCATGGTGGTCGACTTCGTGCCTGCACTTGCCTTCATGGCGGTCTTCATGGCGCTCTTCTGCATGGCCTTGTTGCCACCATTGCTTCTTCCACGCCTCCCTCTCCCTCTGCCTCTGCCTCTGCCTCGGCCTCTTGCTCCACCCGCGTCTGCCTCATCCTTGTCATTGTCTTCCCAATTGTCCATCATCATCCGCGCTTGTTTAGCGGGTGAAATGGGTGGAGGCTGATTCTCAATCGGCAAAGCACTCTTCTCAGGCGGCGTCTTCTTCTGCTCAGGCGGATTCTCCTGTGGCTGTTTGTGCTCAGGCAACTTCTCCTCTGGCCCCTTCTGTTCGTTGGCCTTGTTGGTGAAATTGCCAATCATGGACGCAAAGGTCATCATGCCATGCATCCACGACTCTGGTGCCTGTGACGGCCCTCTTGACCCAGTTGCTGGCTCTGCAATCCTTCGATCACTTTTTCGCAAAGGACCTGCAGTCACTGTCTTGCGCTCAGGCCGCTCAGTGGAAGGCCCCTCGTGCTCGAAGGCGCTGTTGTAGAGCTCCTTGGGCATGTCCTTGACATTCCCGGAGTACAACATCAAAAGGTCGGTCTGCTTTTTAGTGACTCCTTTCTTTTTGCGCAGGTCCTTCAGCAGATCTTTGAAGCAAACCAAGCTAGTGTTGTAGGTCTGCGCGTCCTTCAGCTCGTCATTGCAGCCAAGCTCCATCAGAAGGCTCACGGCAAGCCCACAGCTGGGTTCATTGGGAAACCACAAGCAAAGCCTGCCATACGCCTCTGCAAGCACTTGCAACTTGCTCTTCAGCGAGAGCGGTCCCTTCAAGCTTGTCCACTCGCTCTTCAGCAAGTAGGGTGCAAGGTCAATCACCTTCTGGCCAGACTTGGTCTCATTGCCACTTCTCTGAAGAAGGC